ATTTTGTCTTCATCTTGTGTGTATTAGTTTCAAGATAATTGATTGTTATTTAGTGTTTATTTTGATTATCCCCTATATATTAATTGAGAAGCATTACAACATTGTTTGGTAGCCACGTTTCATCATGAGAATGCCTCTCAAATTTACTAGAGAAAAATGTTGGTCTACATAAACATATAATATACTTTTTATTAAACTAAACATAAAACTGTTATTAGTACTATTCATTATTTCTTTAAATAAAATTTACTGAATTACCTAATATGGCTATAATATATGTATGACAATTAATTATTCGAATATAAAGATTTGATAAAAAATATTATAGCCTCTACTATTTTTGTTAAACTTATATTGTGAAAATAAATTAAACAATAACATTAACTATATAACAACAAAAAAATAGATTTTTTGATATATGTTATTTTTTGAATTTTTAAAACGACTATAAACTAATAAAATATTTAAAAATTTCACATATAATATTTTTGATTAGTAGCTTAAATCCCCAATATATTAATCCGGGAGCATTATAACATTTTTTGGTAACCACGTATCACAATGAGAATTATTTTCATAACTCTTAGAAAAATATGTTGGTCCAACTAAACATATGTTATATTTTTATTATACTAACTATCATATTTAATTAGTAGTGTACAAAAACAAAATTTTATATTCTTTCCTTAGATAAAAGCTACATGATTACTTAAAATGATTAACATATATATCACAATTAATGTTCATGAATAATAAAGATTTGATAACAATTTTTTATCCTCTTTACTTTTTATTTAATTTATATTACTAAAAGAAACTAAACAATCACATTAGTCATATAATAAAAAAGTTAGTTTTTTTCTTATATGTTATATTTTTAATTTTTTTTAAATGATCATAAATTACTAAAAATGGTAAAAATCTCACATTGAAAATTTTGTGATCAATGATAACGTTTTTTTAATTCAGCCAATCATTTTCTAACCAAATGGATCGCGCATAATAGAGTGTGTTTTGTTTAAAAATTATTGCATTCCCAAAATCAATATGAACCATCATCCATTTCATATAAATTTTTGTTACAATAGAAAATATATGGTTGGACAAAAAATCTGAATCAAGAAAACCGAACCAAATCTAATCCAAAAAGTAGTACAAATTTTCAACCAAAATTGGTTAGATATCCAAACGAATTCGAAATTTTGGTATCTAGAGAAAAAAAATTGAATCAAAATATCTCGGGTATCCGAATGTACTCGAACCAGATTTATATACTTAAATATATTAATTATTTTTAAATTTAACAGCTAGAATATACAAAATACATGAGATTTTTTAAAATTTTCCAAAATACTTAGAAATATAGAAAATATTTAAATGTACATTTTTAAAATAGCTAAATGATATTCCAAATACCAAAAATATTTGAAATATTAATTGATTTTTTATCCAAATATTTAAGATAAAACAATTTTATGTTAAGTTTAAGTATTTTGGCATTCATTTTTCAAATTTATATGTTATATATTATATTTACTTTTAGATTTTGAAAAATTAAAAGTACATATGAATGTTAATATTTTTAAAAAAATTTAGATGGGTTATCCGAACCTGCAAAGATTCAAACCAAACCACAAAGATTTAAACCAAACAAAATCTAACCGAAACAAATGGTACCCAAATACCTATTCATAATCAAATGTAAAAAATGTTATTGGTAGCAAAATATATATTTAAATACAACATATTTTAAAAAGCTCACTCCGCGCACTGCACGGATTATCATCTAGTAATAAAATGAATGACATGTTCACTTAGACATTTCACCATCTCTATCAAAATTTGATGTCTGTTTATATTTTGTACATTTTTATTTTTAACTACTGTCAAACATATTTTGCAAAATTATATTAGTTTTAGTATTATAATATCTTATATTTTGTTTGTTTTTCATAAAAGCACATAGTTATTTTTATGTGTCTGATTATTATTTTACGCAGTAATTGATATAAATTTAGCGTGTACACAATATCATTTTTAAAAACAACATACAATATAATTTATGTGAAAATCTTTGTATTTGTTTGATCTGTTTATTCCTTTTGATTTAGTTGTATTCTGATTTTTCCTATATATTTAATGCATATTAATTCCTAATGTATTACTATTAAAAATCTAGTGATATACACACATAAAAATATATATATTCAAATTTAGTGAGTATCTGATTTTTCTTAATTTATTGAAAATAAGAACAAGATTAAATATCACTATTTATATTTTGTTTTATTATATAAGTAATTCCTAACATTTTTCAATGTTGATAAAATAAAATATCTAATAATATAAATTATGGATTATTTTCAGTCAATTTATGTGAGAATCTTTGTATTTGTTTGATGTGTTTATTCTTTTTGATTTAGTTTATATTCTTATTTTTAATGTATATTTAATGCATATTAATTCCTAATGTGCTACTATTAAAAATCTAATCATACACACACATAAAATATATATTCAAATTTAGTGAGTATCTGATTTTTCTTATTTTATTGAAAATAAGAATAACATTAAATTTGACTATTTATATTTTTTATGTTATTAATAACATTAAATTTGACTATTTATATATTTATTTTATTATATAAGTAATTTCTAACATTTGTTAATGTTGATAAAAGAAAATATCTAATAATATAAATTATCTATTATTTTGAGCCTTATAATTTATTTGAATTCAATTTGAATTCATGGAAACTATGATTTTGAATATATTTTTTTATCTCAAAACTTTTTGTTCTTAAAAAGAATTGATCAATGTATTCACATAAAGTAAACATTTGTTAATATTAAATATTATTTTTGTGCAATAATATTTTTACATACCATGTGTCATTTTCTACTCATCCTATTTAGTGACATATCATCACCATGAGAGAGAAAATTTAAATTTATATAATAAAGTTTAATAACAACATGCTATAAGTAAAACATTGCATTGAAATAAATTCTTACAATTTTATACTCCCCAATTATACTATTAGAACCAAACTAAAACAAACAAACAAGACATCTATCTAAATTGTGTAAATATCCGGATAATTTTTAAAAAACAATTAACTGAAAATTTGTCATATATTATAAAATATTTTTTCATACATATATGTATATTATAATGCGAATGAAAATATCTAAGTATTCAAGATATGGTTTATATATCTAAAAATATTGGTTTTATTTAATTATGAAATAAATAAATAAATAAATATTTATAAGATAATATATACATTTATATTTTTCTGATATTCAAATTAATTCGATTGGTTATATTTCTAGAATATTGACTGTTCATCATATATCAATTTTATTTCAAATGATATAAGTAACAATATTAAAATATTTGCAATATTTTTAATTTGTATTTTATTTCAAAATAAATTTAGTAGTTAAATTTATTAACAAGAATATAAATATTTAAATTAAAAATTATTTCAAATTATTTTTAATATTAATCATTATAAAAAAAATATTGTCACATTAGCATTAAGAAAAACAAATTAATTTCTAAAAATATTAATCCATTTATTTTACATTATTATTTTTATCAAAACAATATTATTTTGTATTAATCATATTATTTTTCTATCAATTTTGCATTTATCATGTAAACTGCAAGAATAACAGTTGAACTATACCATACTTTAATTTTGCATCGTTTATATTATTAAAACCACCGCTACTTAATCTTACAAAACGCGATTACACAAATAATGTCATTTTCTAATATATGTATGTTGTCAGTTTTTTTTGTTTAAATTATTTTTTTCAGTTTAAATAGTACTGTATTAACAGCAGTATTAAAAATTACTCCATGCGTTTTATTTTAATTGTCATTCTAGGTTTTTACACACAGATTAAGAAAACATTTAATTTTATATATTTTTAAGATAAAAATACAATTACCTATACACTTAACCACTTTTCAACCAATAGAAAAATAGAATATCATATAGAATTAATAAATTTTGTCTCGAAACTCAAAAACGACACTTTTTGAAACGAATTTTTTTTGTCTAGAATGACAATTATTTCGAAACGGATGGAGTATTAAATATACGGCCGACGGAAAAACAAGTTTTAAAGGACAAGGACACTTGGACGGAAACTAGAAGTCGGTAATTAAAAAAATAATTTAAAGGAATGTATTTTTTCTTTTAAATACATATAAATGTGTGCTACTATTTATATAGCTTTGCTTCTCCTTCCTCATTTCTCAATTTTCAGCGTTGAATCAAATCTCTCCGTGTTCCCTTTGCTTCAGGTTCGCTTTATTATTACACAGTTTCTTAGATTATTGTCTGAAAATTACCTGTGAATTTTCAAAATAAAAAAACATGTGTAACGAATGGTTCGTGTCTTTCATTCATGTCGTTCTCCACTAATGCTCGATCATACATTTCGTCCAAAGTCTTCACCTTTATTAGATCCTTGATTTTCATCTGTTTAATTCCACTTCTCGGTATCGTTTTCTTTTTGTCTTTGGATTCTTCTGAAGAAATTGTGAATAAAATTGATGAAATCTGTTCCCTTTGTCCATTTCATCTGATCTACATGCTTAGCATTTAGATCTGCGCTTCAGCCACTCTTCTAGATTGAATCAAAGAGGTTTCATCATTACGTAAATTCGGGGAAAGAGCACATTTTTACGATTGAATTGATCCAAAGATCTCATCTTTTTTTTGTTCTGTTAGATCTGGTTTCTACTTCTGTTACGTCAGCATTTGTCTGTGTGCTTATATCACTTGATCTTTCTGTCTTTTAACTCCTTTAAAAAATCTAAACTTTTTGTTCCCTTGGGATCTAACTTTACCTACTTCTTCTATGTACTAAGCACTTAGATCTGCACCTTTTGGTCCATTTATGGTAAATTTTATGAAATTTGAAAATGATTTGGATTCTTCTTTCACAGGTAATATTTGAGTTAACTTCTTAGTACTACCATGGGATCCACTATTGATGCCGCAAACAAGGTAATGGATTGTAAAACATAGTTATGTTCTAATTACCTAACAGTGCTTGTCTGCCTGGGAGATACAATGTTAAAGCCGTTTGAAATTTATGTTTGGTCTGTTTTCTCCAGGGTGTAAATGGAACCGCTAGTGCCAAGAAACCTACAGTTATATTTGTTCTTGGTAAGTTCATCATGTCCCTTATTTTTCTTTGTTAAAAACCGTTACTTCTCAGCCTTCATACTTGTGGTCTTCTTAACGCGGTTGATTGCGTTGTCCTAATGATCCATGAGATGTTCTCTTAGGTCGACTTATTAGAAGTTTATTGTACATCTTCTTGAGTTTAGTACCTGTGTATGTTGAACAGGTGGTCCAGGAAGTGGGAAAGGTACACAGTGTGCCTATATCGTTGAACATTTTGGTTACACACATCTGAGTGCTGGAGACCTTCTTAGAGCTGAAATCAAATCTGGCTCTGAAAATGGGTACGCCCTCAAAAGCATTATCCTTCTCTAGGTCGTTTATTGTAGGTGGTTGGACTTGGTTTATGTAATTGTTTTTCCGTTTAAATGGTTTGTGCAGGACTATGATCCAGAATATGATTAAAGAAGGGAAGATTGTACCATCTGAGGTAACAATCAAGCTGCTGCAGAAAGCAATTCAGGATAATGGGAATGACAAGTTCCTCATTGATGGTTTCCCTCGCAATGAGGAAAACCGAGCAGCATTTGAAAAAGTTGTAAGTAACATTAAAAGTTTCTTTCTTTTGGCAATACAATTTGCTTAATGACATGTGTTTGATGATTTTTGTAGACTGAGATTGAACCCAAGTTTGTCTTGTTCTTTGATTGTCCTGAGGAAGAGATGGAGAGGCGTCTGTTAGGCCGAAACCAGGTTAGTATGATATGAAAAGCTCTGTGACTTTGCTCTGTCTAATCTCTTGTTCCATATATATTGATTGTTGTCTCTATTGAAGGGGAGAGAGGATGACAATATTGAGACTATAAGGAAGCGTTTCAAGGTGTTTCTTGAATCTAGCTTACCAGTGATTCAATACTACGAAGCTAAGGGGAAAGTTAGGAAGGTAAAAATCTTGTTTTGAGTCTCATTACGGTCCAGCAAGTGTAAGCTGTAACAAAGTTTTGTTGTTTTCTTCAGATTCATGCCGCAAAGCCCATTGAAGATGTGTTTCAGGAGGTGAAGGCAGTCTTTACTCCTGAAGCGGAGAAGGTAAAACACAATACTTGTGTGATTCTCTAAACCTCTAGTATTCAAAAAGGAAATAAAAGATTCCTCATAGGAATCACATAAGTTGTACTGTAATGTAGAAGCTTGTAACTAACTAAAGTTTGTCGGTCTGAATCATAAATGCATCATGACTGTGCTGTAAAAGATGATAAATAATGCATTTGCATAAACTTTGATGATCCAACTTTCTTTTTCTCTTCGCAACTTCGTTAATGAATAGAGCAGTGCCAAATAGCTTGGCACGGTAATAAGCTATAGAGGCCAAGTAGCTGCAGCTATGAATCCACTATTTTATTGGTAGAGATCTTATATTAAACAATTCTGTAAATTGTCTTATTTAAGGTTGAAGCCTAGGCTGCAGCATCGTAAAGACATGGATAAACTGATCAGGTATGTTCATTTACTTTTCAAATTCAACTCAAGTTCTGGTCTAAAAAGGTAACTTGAGAATCTGGAATAAAGGGCTTTGGAAGCTGATGCTTTGTTATAGCATTTATTATATATGGTATCTAGTTCTCTAAGCATCTCTGACATGTATGTATGTGATGATTATTAATGTCTGCTTTCTTGAAAAGATTTGCAGGTAGCTGGGTGGTTGCATCTTTACCGGGAAGTCTCTGCTTGGCCTTATTTTTTTCTATACAAATATATGATATGATTACTGTTATTATTACTATACACCTTTTACCTATTAATATCATTTTTGTTTTGTTTCTTTGTACTTGATGGGATTTGTGATTGGCTTTCTGTAATTTCTTTTTTTTTTCTGTAATTTCATAAACCAAATTCATGGGACTTTTTACAATATATACTAAGATTAATGGAATCTCAGTGCTCTGGTTACTTTTTCTAGTTGTTCTCTCAGATTGTGGTTGGATTTAAGTTTTATTAATAATAGTGAACTATATACCTCATACATTTTCATATTTTCAAATCACTAAATGGCAAAAAGAAACAAACAATGATGATGTAATTCTAAAACAAAGAGTTATCCTACACAAGTTAAACCAGACAGAAATAGCTAACTTTTATTCAAGTCAAACCAGCCTAAACATAGCAAACAACACAAACAAATAACAAAAAAAATACTCTATATAGAGGCAAAAACTCAGTATATAAAACCTGTATACACATCTCATGTCTATCAAACAATAAACACAGTAGTCTGATAATCTTTGTTTGGAATACAAGAGACTTTGCAAGAGAAAATGGCGGGAAAAGTGTGTATGGTGATGGCATTGGTGATGATGGCATGTGTATTACAAGCATGCAATGCTGATGAGAGCAAGACAACGCAAAACCCAAAGTTCGAGTGTTTCAGAAACTGTTCCGTAGAATGTGGCAAGCAAAACAAACCTTGTTACCAAGATTGTTTGACGATATGTGGTCTCCCACAACAACCTTCTAAACCAACTACATCTTCATCGCCTTCCTCCACCGTCTAATTTTCTATCTTATATCGAATGAGCTAAATGCTAACACTGTCATCTATATGAGTTTTATCATGAAGGAAAGAATCGAGAACTATCATCAAATGTGATTGTGTGATAAAGTCTATGTAAATCTAATGATTTGCAGCATATGTATACACATCTATTATAATGACAGATCATTCTGTCATATACATGTGATAAACGATTCACATATAATAATAATAGAAACGTACAAAACAAAGGGGGAGTACTGTAAATAGACTGTCTAACCATTTAAAATCATACAAAACTCAGAAACATGGAATCTGATCATTATATAATAACCTAAAAACAAAAAAGATCCATCAGCTTTCCTTTGTTTCTTAAGCAATCTCTGAAAATGCCAATTGAGGAAAACCTTCTCCTTTACTTAACTTTCTGCACTATGCTTATAGTTAAACCCTTGTCTGAAGTATACATCCTCCATGATTGCATTCTGCACCGTCTGAAACAAACAGTTTGAAGCAAGCACAAAAGGATTCACATTAAGAACACCAAAAAAGGACAAGGATTTCTCTCTCTGTCTCAAGAACAGAGCACTTTAAAACCCTCTCTTGTCAGGACAATCTGCTGCCCTGTGTCCTGAACTTCCACAATTGAAGCAAGCACCTCCAAAACTCCTGTTTTACAGACATCAGATCAATCAGTTTTAATAGGCAAGTGCGCAGATTTTGATATAGATTGTTTGAAACTTTAAAAACTCACCTCTCCCTGGAAGGAGCTCTGCTGCTTGATGAACGTCTGTCACTACCGCCGCCAATCAACCAATCATCAGAACTTCCTCTGGAACCACCACCACCACCACGGGACCAGCTGCTTCCTCCACCACCACTGCTTCTACTTCTTCTGTCATCATCACCTCCCCAACTATCACGTCCTCGTGATGATCCTCCTCTACCGCCAAATCTTGATCCTCTAGAGCCTCCTCCTCCTCCTCTAGGCATCCTGTCTCTGCTAGAGAACCGTCCATAGTTGTCACTAGACGGTCCATCATCTTGCAGCGGAGGCAACTACAGAAGATGCCAAGTGTTGTTAGTCAAAAAGGATCTTAGTCTGTATATGTTATGTTGTATCACAAGAGTGAAAGCCAGGATGAATACCTTTGTTATCAAGGATACACTGTTTCCTTCTGGCACTTCTTGCTCTAGCAGCTCTTTCGCGATGTCCTCTGGTAGATCAAAAACAGCTCCTTGCACCTGATACATTAGCAGAATCAGAGATTTGTAAGATAGTTTCAAAGATACTGCTGATATGATGATCATTTTAATGAGACTGACCCTGTCATCTGCGATCATGAAGATTTTTCCAACTCGATCTGCAGCTGGACGGTAAACATCGGAAAGAAAACCAGTCACAGACCTTGCAGACAGGAAGCCTCTAGAGTTTGTTGGATCTCGTATCAACTGCAAAGTCACCCATCCCTGCAGTCCAAAATTTCAACTTCAGTTCATGATGGTAGGATTATCAATCTATCTAGAGGACTTTAAAGAGTTGCTATTAAGTATTTAGTGGATGTTGAAGTTGGTTCTCAAGAAGTAAGCTAAAATGTAAATGACCTATCATTTGTTTTCATGAATCTTAAAGCATAACTGAGAATTAAACCTGCTCATGACTGAGGAGAGATCTAGATGAAGGTGGCTGAGAGAAACCACTCAGGTGAGCTAGAGCTGCAGCTAAAGCATCTGTTCCTTTTTCCTCAAATAGTTTCTGAGCAGTTGCTGAGAAAAACTTAATAGACTCAGGGTGAACACCGTTTAGAGTAGCAACCACATGGTCTGCTGAGGCTTCCAACAAGTCTCCAACGGTTGGTGGGCTAATAAACTCAAATCTGCAGCCTACATCACGCTCGAGAGACCTCACGGTTCTCTTTTGGCTGCTGCTGTGCATGAGAATGGCAGAGCCTTCTTTCCCTGCACGCCCAGTACGACCAGAACGGTGCACAAATGTCTCTGGGTCATTAGGAAGTTCATAGTGGATAACCTGTAAAAGAAAATGTCAGAACAAACAGATAAAGATGACATAAAAGAGGATAGATAAACTATCTACTGAAACTTTGAAAACTTACTAGATCTACGTTCGGGATGTCAAGTCCACGAGACGCAACATCAGTGGCAACTAGTACTGTGAACTTCCCTTGACGGAAACCATTGAGTGTTCTCTCTCTTTGATGCTGAGAGATATCTCCGTGAAGTGCTTCGGAAGCTATACTGTTTGACAAAGCTAGAGAGACCTCGTCTGCATCTCTTTTTGTTTGAGTAAAAACAATGGTCTTGCCACCCTTCGCATACACCTTCAAGTTTTGAAAAAATTGAAATAAACATTAGAGAGCTAAAGAGACCAATCAACCATGTTAAGGAAATAGCAAACTATCAGCTAAGACATACTGTTATAAGGTCGCTAAGAATCGTCCGTTTTGATGTCGATGTGGCTGAGATTGCATAGAGTTTGATCCCTTCCGCAAGCTTCTCATCTTGGTCTCCAACCTGCCAATCCAGTAAAAACAAACAAGACGATAGCCTTAAGCATCTGAGTGCAATCTAGTAACGAGAAGAACCAATGAAGCAAGCTTACCAGATCGATGTTCAAGGGATTGTCAAGGTACTTCCTGGCCAACTTCTTCACCCAAGTAGGCATAGTCGCTGAGAAAAGCATGCTCTGCCTCTTCTGTGGGAGATTCTCAAGAATCGACTCCACAGCCTCCTCAAACCCAACAGCAAGCATCTGGTCAGCTTCATCAAGTACCAAGTACTCAACTTCACCCAACTTAAGACTCCTTCCTTCAATCAAATCAATGATTCTTCCAGGAGTTCCAACAACAACATCAACACCACGAGTGAGAGCATTCTGCTGAATGGTATAAGAGACACCACCATACACACAAACAGTGCTCAAGTAAGGCGCAGACTCCTTAATCTCCTTCTCCACTTGCTTAGCCAGCTCTCGCGTAGGCGCAAGGACAAGGAACTTAGCAAGACGACCAGGCTTCCTATAACACATAACATTTAGAAAACATTTAGAACACAAAACAATGCAAATAGAGATGTAAAGTTAACAATAACAGAACCTGAAAGCAGAGTAGTCTCCAGCTTGTTCAGTGAGGCGTTTGATAATAGGGATACCGAAAGCTAAAGTCTTTCCAGTTCCTGTCTTTGCACGAGCTATGATGTCACGTCCTTGCAGAGCAGGAACCAACACAGCCCTCTTCAGACAACACAAAACAAACAATACGTCAATCAATACTTCAAAGGATAAGACTTTAACAGTTTTGAGATTGAAAGGATAAGACTTTAACAGTTTTCAGATAACAACCTTTCTGCCCTTTAGACCTTATCATGAACATAATAAAGGATGAGACTTTTAAACAGTTTATGAGATTGAAAGGAAGAGACTTTAAACCTGAATGGGGAAGAGGTGAGTGATACCACGCTTCTCCAGAGACTCACCGAGACGCTGAGGCAAACCGAGTTTCGAGATAGCGAGCTCTTCACCATCGTCGGAGGAGGGGGAGGAGGAGTCGCCGTCGAGGTCGAATTCGTCGGAAAGGCCGAGGCTTTTGAAAGCTTCCTCGCTGAGAACGGAGTTTGGAGTAGCGACGGCGGAAGGGATGAGGAGAGAGGAGGTGGAAGAGGAGTGGATAAGACGAGTTGTACGAAGAGAGAAGGGAGAGAGGAAAGGTTTGTTGAGAGAGAGAGGTAAGCAAGTAGACCTCTTCTTGGAGTTGGTTTTGGAGAATTCCAGGTGAGGGACCTGGTAAAGAGATGGAACTCCCACCGTCGACGCCATTTTTGTTGGAGAGGGAGAAGAGTGAAGAGATAAGGTGAGAGAGTTTTTTGAAAGGCTTTGTAACCTTCCACGCCTTTCTTTGCTTCTCTGCTCTGCCCTATCTCTAGTATTTATTTTGTGACACTCTCCAAGTGGTGGTGTAAAATATCAGATATCTTGGGCCTTATGGGCCGGTATTAGGTGTAGTTAAGCCCATTATATGGATTATGAAATTTATCATTCTGGCCTTGTTTGGGAATATTNTTTTTTGAAAGGCTTTGTAACCTTCCACGCCTTTCTTTGCTTCTCTGCTCTGCCCTATCTCTAGTATTTATTTTGTGACACTCTCCAAGTGGTGGTGTAAAATATCAGATATCTTGG